TTTTTCTGCTTCCTTTTCACTTTGGGCCTCTTTTCAGTAGCAAAACTAGAAAGGGCAGAGTTTGCCAGGTTGGACACTGGGGCTTGGAGCAAGCTGCTCTAGTGGAAGGTGTCCCTGCCAGTGGCAGGGTTGTTGGAACTGGGTGAGCTTTCAGCTCCCTTCCGACCCAAACCATTCTGGAATTCAATGAAAATGTCCATCTGTATTATGGAAACAGACTGGAAGATGCTAAATAGTTGCTGTTTATGAGACTGGCTTGATTTTTGCATTAGAGGTTTCCTTCTTTTTCTTCCAGGAAGAGCAGTAAACCTCATGAAGACATCATTGGCATCCGGTCTCGGAACAGAGGGTCCCTGGCCCAGGGCAAGAACTATTTACTGAGCAAGTTCTCATCTCTCAATCAGAAAGTGAAGCAAACCAAATCCAATGTGAACATCAGTAACCTCCGGAAGCTGGGCAGCTTTACCAAGCCGGAGGTGAAAGTCAACTTCTTAAAACCAAATCTGAAAGTGAATCTCTGGAAATCAGACAGTAGCCTTGAAACGCTGGAGAATCCGGTGGGAGATGCTAAAGTCCACACGGAATCTGATACAGAAGGGTCAGATAATGACTCCTTCCACTCGGATGACTTCCTGACCAATTCTAAATCCGATGAGGACAACCAGCTGACTGACTCCCTGGAGAACATAGGGCAGGCAGACTATGTGCTGCCCAGCTGTGGGATCATTGCCTCGGCACCACGGCTGGGCAGCCGCTCCCAGTCCATCAGCAGCACTGACATGAACATCAGCATTCACGTTCCATCCGAGATCCACGTGTCCCAGGGTGACCGCTCTGACTGTGAAGATGTAGCCATGCCTTCTGCTGACAACGTGGAGATGGAGTTTGCTAAACCGATGGATGAGTACTGCCAGAGGTTTGTGCACGATGCTCAAAACAAGGTGTCCGATGTTTTGGAGGCTGAGGCTGGTTCTCAAGAGCCCCATCACATAGTAAATCAAAGCAGCAATAATACATCTAAGGCAGCAGAAACCAAGGCTGAAGCTGTCGGAGATGCTCCTTCCAGGCCATCCAAGCTGGATGTACAGTCTTCTGAGCCAAATCCTCAGCTCTTAGCTGTTGGTGGGTTTGACTTCACCAGATCTCATAAGAGCCCAGGATCTGCATCTGGTAACCCCGAGACAGGACTCCACATGACTCCCTCTCCAGCCGAGAGCAGCAGCAGCAGAGCTGTGTCTCCCTTCGCTAAGATCCGCAGTTCCATGGTCCAGGTTGCTAACATCACACAAGCAGGATTGACTCAAGGGATTAACTTTGCTGTGGCAAAGGTCCAGAAGAGCCCTGCGGAACAAGAAGCTCTCAATGAAATTAAACAGAAAGAACTGAGAGCAATGTTCACCCAATGCCAGACACGGATCATTCAGATCTAGTTGCTCCTTTAGGAAGTGTTCCTTTAGTTGTGGCTTTTAATACAATAGTAAAGAATACGACATCAGGACTCACTGTGGCATGAAGTGCTACTGAATACTGGGATCAATAATACAGGTAACTTGTTTACAGGCAGTGAGAGATGTGAATGAATTTGGTTCTGACCAAGCTTAGGCAGGTGAGATGAGGACGGTAAAGCCCTTATTTAAACAGGTAGCTTAGACACTGGGATGTATTAAGCATGCTGTCCGTCTTATATGTGTTGCACAGTTATTTTTGGAGACTAATTTTGTAGCTCTTCTGACTTCTTGTAGAAAGTATTTATACTGGAAAGGTGATACTGCACTTCTGTGACCTTACTACTTACCTTGCACTACACCAGCAAAAGAACTTAACCGGTAAATTACACCTTATTTATTTTTGGACTAGTGTTTTTACTTGTTTCCATTGAAGTTTTAGATGCAGCTTTCTATGAATTGTGCCTCTCCAATGGGAACGGATGCGTTTCTGTTCCATTGCATTATGTTAACCAGAAATGAAGATTCCCTTTTTGCTGTCGTTTCCTTTCCGCACCTCTTGGGTCACGTTCAGTCCACGTAAAGCGTGTCGATCCCACCTGCAACACCCACCGTCCTGCGGTGCACGTTCACTCCGTGGATCTCCTTGGCTTCTCACTTGTTCTGAGGTGAGGGCAGATGGAGCAGATGTCCTCTCATTGTCTTGCCCATGATGAAGAGATTCCGATTTCTTTCTTTTCCCCTAAATTTCAAGCACTGGCAATTCACTCTTATTTTTTATCACTGTATAAAGCAGGACAAGGCCAATACCTGCCCTTCAGGCATTGTGTCCCTCTCTGTGCTTATATTCTAACTGTTCAGATGCATAAGTCCAACTAACTTCTAGAAGAGAAGGCAAATGTACTGTTCCATGGAATCAGTGTTGCATTACAGCATAGCTGTCAGCATCTAATCAAAACCAAATTCATTACCACCTCGAGCTTTGCATACTCGCAGGATAAAGCAGGCTAAGCATCCGCTCGTGCTGGGAATGGGATTAACCCCCCCCAACCCTTATCTATGTGTGTCAAAAGATTTACATCTACCTTAACCACCCTTTCCCAGCAATGCCTTGCCACGCTGTTCTAGTGTAGGACATTACCCAACAGCTCCTGTACAGCAGGACCTCGCTATGCTGTGGTTTGTGACTGTAACCACCGTTGCAGACCCTGGTGCCTTGGTGTTCTTGTCCATGTACTGTAGGTAGGCTGCACGTGGTGTTCAGAGAAAATAGTGTCATAGGGGTAGGGTAGTAACAGTGTCTTAGAGCTTCTAAGTGTGTCTGAAATGGTTCTCCCCTGTCCCTGGTGGTCTGAGACTTCATTAAACAGATCTGGTTTATTTATTTTATGACAAGTGCTGTGGGTTTGGGTTTTTTGAGTGTCTCTACTTGTGGCTCTATTTAAAATCAAACTACTGCTGTATTTTAATGTGAGCAATATACAGGAGCTATTTTAATAAAAAAGTGGAATCCAAAGGTGGCTTTTGGCTGTGATGTGAAGGGATGTGGGACAGTGGGGCTGGAGGGGGGTAAGTTTCAGAGATGGGGAGGTCATCTGGACTTTCTCTGGCTTGAGAGTCACAAAATCACAGCAGCGTTGAGGTTGGAAGGGGTTGGACTCATGTGGTCAGGACTATGTCCCAGGTATCTCCAAGGGTGGGAGGCTCCAGCACCTCTCTGGGCACCTGCTTCTAAGGCTCAGTCACCCTCATGGTAAAAAGGGGTTCCTGATGCTCAGAGGGGACTCTTCTGTGTTTTGGTTTGTGCCTATGGCTTCCTGTCCTTGCACCAGGCACCACTGGGAGCAGCTGGGCCTTACACCCTCCCCATCTTATTAATATTCTATACTAATACTATATGATAGACTTCTTAATATAGGCATATTGGTGATGTTATAGACATGAATAAGATCCCCTGTCAAGCAAGGGACACATACATGACTTGATACTCTATCCTTCTATCATTGCCCTGATGCAATGCTGGCCTCAAGGAAGTTAAGGTCATAGACATAGTGAGGGGACTCCTTAAAAGCTGCCCAAGCCTTGGAACTTGTAAAGGGCTGGAGGAGGGACAGGAAATTCCAAATATTTGCCATTATTTAGGTAGGAGAAAGAGAAACTGGTTTGTAAAACATCACACACATGTTTGGCCTGTACAAGCACATGTAGTGACTTTGACAGCCTGAGAGTCCTGCAAGGCAGGATACCAATAGCTGTAAAATCACTCTTGTGTTCTAAAACTAGTGTTGCTCAGTCAACACTCAGGACAGATCCCCCTAGAAATGAATTCCTGACCTGGTGCACTGGTTCCCTGACTTCTACTCGGGGACCCAAGCATGCTGTGTCCTTCCAGCTTAGGCATTGCCCAATAGTTATGAAATACCAGATGGTCTCACATGGCACTGCGCCTCAGCCCCTGCTGTAAGCAGCACTGAGATGACATTACAAACCAGCTGTGCTCCAGCCAGGCTTCCTTTTGACCAGAGGCTTCATTTTCTCCTGTTCAGTTGCTAAACTTCATATTAATGTAGCACAAGGCAGATGAAACCAGGAATACTGAGCTTAGTGTTCAAGAAGAGGTGATTTGAAAGGGCATTAAGCTGGGCTAGCTTAAGGCAAACAGTTGTTGTCTATAGTACAAATACCTGAATTACTGTGAGAGTGCAGAGATGAAAAGGACAAGGCCAGGGTGGCTGTGCTGCAACAACCAGTGTCATATTTAGACTAGAAATGCAGTGAAAAAGGTGGTTCCTGTTCACACAATCTCAGTCATGACACAGCATCAAGTGAGGGGGGGTTTGGCTTCATCTCAGTTGGGCAGGAGCCTTTGTCCTTGTTGATAAAAGGATGAATTGAAGCAAGATGTAGAATCAGCTCCAGCACTGACTCCTGCAGGCTGCCTCCACAAGCACAGCACCGTGTTTCTGGACTCTCCCTCTCACTGCTTAACCCGCCCTTGTTAAACCAGTTCTGCAGGTGGTATTAGTGGCAGGGCGGCCTCTGGAAACCAGCTCATACTGTACACTGCAAGTTGTATAGTACTTGTATAGTACTTAATGGCTATTATTCAAACAGTTTAACCACCACCTTACTGCTCATGCAAAAAGCCTGATATGTTCTGTACAGGTACATGAATATCACCAAATCTCCAGTCAATGCCTTTATTCCCCCCTCTTAAACTGTGCCAGAATAAAGCTCCTTAGAGACACTGAAGAAGTGAGTCATGGTGTTGTCTGACAATAAGGATGTATTTCATACTGGAAGCTCAGCATGGATAAGATAAGCAAATTCTACTACTGTTGTGCTGCTGTGAGTGCAACGTGCCTTTACTCACGGGACCAGCAGTGCACAGGCCCAGATAGCAACAGTCTGGTTCTTTCAGCTGCTGCCAGCTCTGATACTCAGAACTCACCACTCGCAACACAAACTTACTCCAGGATGGAGCCTTACCCATGCGGTGTAGGAAGGGCTCTGGGTTCGACTTCCTCATTGTTAAAGGACAGGAGTTTACACAACTTCAGTATTAAAGTTTAATATCAAACAATTTGCTCATTGTTACCAATTTTCAATTACAAAACAGGCTCCAAAAAAAGGTCATAAAATATGGTGAACCGGCTGAACGGGGTTACGTGTGCTCAGCCTGGGAGGGTAAATAGCCATAACTTCTTTTGGTATAAATTATCTACAAAAACTGGTATAAACAATATTCCAATCTTAGTAGGGGGATTCCATCTAGGATTAGACAAACTCATAGCGACATCCACAGAGCGTTAAAGTTCATTCCCATTGACACATTTCTGCTGCTGCAGCCTGGCTTTCCGTAAGGCCTCCAGTTGTTTTGCTCTCAGCCACCTCTCCCTGGATAGCGTTGTCTGCCCCACGCTGAGAGACAGGAACCTGGATGAGCAGAAGCAGGGGTTAAGAGCTTGGCCATGTGTGAGGTTTGATAAGCTTTAACAGTAAAAGTGTTCCTTCAGTATTGCATGAACTAGGGAGCATGGGAAGAAATGTGTGTGGGGAAATACTTTGCCTAACTATGAATCTGTGACAAGGCACAGCAGAAGAGGAGATGCCATCGTTTGAAGCACTGGCCAACCTCATGAAACTACAGCTAAAGTTGGTCTTGACCTTAAACAAGTGGTAAAGGTTGGACCTGATGATGTTAAAGGTCTTTTCCAACCTGGTTGATTCTATGATTCCACAACTCAACCTTGCCCGAAAGGCTTCTGTTACAACAACCAGCACCACCCACCTTGCTACAAGCAGTGTTCTGTGCAGGTCATCAGCTGTTACGCTCTCAGGGTCGTTCTTCCTCATTTCTACAAAGTCTTCTTCTACTGCCTGTAAACAACACAACAGATAACTGTTGGCAAAGAATCTTCACTCAACAGAAGCTTTGAAGGAGTTAAAACACTGAAAGTACCCTTAGATGCAGAACCCCTGCAACCCACTGCTGTCAGGAAGCGAGTCAGAGTAAGTTACAGCTCATCTTCCAAAATTAGGTTTCAAGATGAGATATAGAAAAGAATTAGGTTTCAAAATGAGCTTTAGAAAGCAGGATATGAGTAAGGTATGGACTGAAATACTAAAGAGCACAAAGCCTTGAAAGGAACATTGAGTCTTTGGTTTCTTAGAAAACATCAAGGAGAATCACTGACAGGGAGAGCAATGGGAAAGCACATCCTGTCCAGCTGCTTTTATCTGAACATACAGTTAAGAGTTGTTAGTGCAGGCTTCCATACCTTGGTCACTTCGTCAGAGATGCTGTAGTCCAGCAGCCTCAACAAGCTGAGGTAAATGCGAAACTTGTTCAGGACAGAAGGGAGCACTGCTGTGAGGAGGCTGCTCATGTACTCCTCCATGTTCGGGGGGATGAGTTGTGGTTGTAAGTGGACTTGACAATCTGACTGAAAAACAGAATTGCATATCATCTCTTTCCACATCCTGTCTATTCCCATTCCAAGATGGATTTACTCTCTGAAGCAAGTCACTGTTGACCAGAATTAAGGTAAGACAATGCATTCCTTAAATATTAACAGTTCCCTTTTTGAAGGCTTGCATGAAGTCCTTATTCAAGCAGGAGCCAGCTTCATAGAATCCTAGACTGGTTTGGGTTGGAAGGGACCTTAAAGCTCATCCAGCTCCAACCCCTGCCACAGGCAGGGACACCTTCCACTGGAGCAGCTTGCTCCAAGCCCCTGTGTCCAACCTGGCCTTGAACACTGCCAGGGATGGGGCAGCCACAGCTTCTCTGGGCACCCTGTGCCAGCGCCTCAGCACCCTCACAGGGAAGAGCTTCTGCCTAAGAGCTCAGCTCAGTCTCCCCTCGGGCAGGTTCAAGCCATTCCCCTTGGCCTGTCCCTACAGGCCCTTGTCCCAAGCCCCTCTCCAGGTTTCTTGTAGCCCCTTTAGGCATTGCGAGCCACTCTAAACTCTCCTTGGAGCTTCCTCCATGCTTGAACAAAGCCCAACCCTCTCAGCCTGTTCACGTCAAAGGTGAGAGAGCAAATGCTCAGTTCATAAAGCTGGAAGGCAGGAGACCAGGTATTGTAAACTCGGGCTGCTCAGTGTTTCTAGGGTCAACGCCAGTTCCATCACTCTATTCCTGGGCCCATCACCCCCTAGCTATTTGTCTAGAATAGGCTTGGAGAGTCACAGCATAGCTGCAGGCCTTCCCCATCATCTTAGTCCAGGAGGAGGGAAGGTCAATCCCTGTTTTCCTTGGGCAGGCTTAGCCTGCCTGCAAGCCAGGAGCAAGCAGGCAGTAACTAACACCAGTGTCATACCCACCCCTCATCACAAGGCTGTTTTCCTGCCTTCACTCCTCAGGAATGGCATGTTCTAAGTGAGCAGCTACCACCTGTAGTTACTCCCCAAATTCAGAAGCCTTTGCCATACCGGTAGGAGCGATCGACCCTCAGAAGTGATAAGAACATTAATATTGCACGGGAATTCCATCTGGTGGTAATTGAAGTCATAATCCACCTTCTGCCAAGTGATCAGGTTACCCAGTGCTGTCACGTTATGGACACCTAGAAGAGCAAGAATAAATTCTGACAACAGGACCTAAACAAATATCAGATCTGATTTGCTTTCTTTCCAATCTGTCTTTAGTGAGCAGTTGGTAGAGAAATTCTTGCAAGCATCCTGCTTCTTCTTGTGTCTGGGGTGTTCTCCGCATGGAAACAGCCACATCTTCAGCCTAAAATTCAGACTTGAAATCAAGTCTTATCTTTTTTTACCCTAAATTCAGTAGGGAACAACATCAACAAGCCCTTTTTATCTGCAACTTTTAAGACTTAAAATAGGACTTCTCGTTAAATGTTGGGGTTTCTTTAGACATTAAGAACACACACTTCAGCAAACCTATATACCACAGGGAGATTTTTCTGGAAATGGGAGTTTTTCCATGTTTTGACTTATTTTCCTGGAACAGTGCAAAGATTTCTATTAGTTTTACTATTTCTGTAGTGAAATTCACTAACTTTTCCAAAGCAGAGTAACACCCCCCCCAAAAAACTCAAAACCAAGTGAATCATTTCAGTGAATTACTTTTAATAGCAAGAAATGAAGAAAGAAGTTTCTAAGTAGAATTAACCTGAAATCTGAACCTCACCAGTTCTGCCAGACTGAATGCTTGAATGAGAGTCCTGACACTCACTGGGGAGACCCAGGAGGCTTACAGCATTGTGCCATCTAGCAGGGCTCTCAGGACAGCATTTTTAGCTTAGGATAAAGTCACTTCCAGTGATTTCCTGTTCTCCTTTCCTTGAAACCACCACAGGTATCTGTACTAAGCATCCCTCAGTTACCAAGCTTTTAATAGGTATCACAACTTAACTCTTATGTAGCTTCTAATTAAAGTAACTGCCTAAAGCTCTGCAGGAAGCACTACACAGTGCACATCATTCTGTTCCACAAAGGAATAGCTATTTGTTTAATCTGTTTTTCAGCTGGATTTTCAGGGATGGTTTCCATATAGACAATACAGGCATAAAGCATAAGGTAGCAGCACATAATTCCCCCTCTTCTTCATTCATTATAGCAGGAAAGTAAAAGGCCATTCTAATGAATCAGAGGTATTTTGGTCTAAAGAATTAACTAAATCTGTGGCCTTTTCCACCAAGTGACAGACACTGTCCAGAGTTCTCTACAATGCAACCAAAGTGAAACTGAACAAGGAACCACCTTGTTTCGTTATCGCTCATTTGTGGCCTGCGATAGGAATTTGTAACTCCACAGAAGCATTTCTGAGCAGAACACCAGAAACTTCCAGGAAGTAAAATAGGGAAAAAAGGAACATTCAAATTACAAGAGATCAAGCCTTAAGTTGTCCAAAAAAGCTGCAGATGAGCAGGAAGCAATGAAATAGGACATGGAAAGCACAGTTTTGTTACAGATAATTAGCCCTGGGACACAATTAGCATCACTGTGTTAAAATACATCAACTTCCAACCTGTCAGATGAGATTGTCTTAATATAAAACAACAAAGAAATGTCTACCTTTTGTGTCAAGCTGCCCTTGCTCGAGCTGAGTCTCATCCACGACAAGGGAAGTGTTGCTGGCAAGCTGTAACACTCCACTGACTAAGCGATTCGCTGTGTAGTCCTTATGTGGGATGAATCGTGCGTGGTTCATGTTTTCAATGGTCATTTGCAGGCGATAGGACTGCAATGAGAAGAGAAACTAATCAGCACCTTTCCTCTCCTCCAGCTTCCCTAATGCTGCTTCCTTTAGCAAGAGAGATAACCATGAACCTTCATAGCAAGTAAAACAAAACTTGTTACCACAATATAGAACAGAATTTATCCACAGTTCCCAAGTTCTGAATACTTAAAATAATGCTCTTAAGAACTCCTACCACCTGTATTCACCAGGGACTGTAGCGACAGGACAAGGGGTGATGGCTTTAAACAGTGGAAGTTCAGGTTAGATATGAGGAAGAAGTTCTTTGCTGTGGGGTTGGTGAGGCAGCACTGAAATGGGTTGTCCAAAGTGGTAAATCCCTGGCAGCGTTCAAGGCCAGGTTGAACAGAGCCTTGGACCACATGGTCTAGGGTGAGGCGACACTGCCGATGGCAGGGGGTTGGAACTGGATGAGGTTAAGGTCCTTTCCAACCCAGACCATTCTATGATCCCAAACTGAATTACTATGAATTTTCTGCAGAATGATATCCACAAACTTGTGAGCAAACATTAACAGTACAATAACTAAATGGCCTAGATCACAGAATAGTTTGGAAGGGTTGGAAGGGACCTTAAAGCTCATCCAGTTCCAACCCCCTGCCATTGGCAGGGACACCTTCCACTAGAGCAGCTTGCTCCAAGCCCTGCCCAGCCTGGCCTTGAACACTGCCAGGGATGGGGCAGACACAAGAATGTCTAAATATATTAAGCCTGAAAGACAAAATTAAGTATGCAGCATCTGACTGCCAGTTTCATACCTTCAAGGGTATGAGTTTGTTTCATATTCACCCTAGATGACTCTAGGTAAATAAAGACTTCAACTGAACAGGCAAGCCATAACTATTTTTACCTGCTCTGTACACAGACAGCAGAAGCCTTTAAGAAGCCTGGCTTTTAACTAAAATATTGCTGGAACAATTAGCCCAACATCTCTCATAAGCAATATGAAAGCACTCTAATGCCATTGTCCTTACTGCAGGCACAAGCTGCTGGATGATGCGGTATACGTGCTCCGTGAAGACGTTATTCCGTGGACATCCACTCAGGTTGACTGCGAATTTTCCCAGAGGGAGCACATCTCGTCTTGCATAACTAAACCAGAAACAACACAGGTTAGGCAAGCACTGGTGAATACAGTTATCAATCAGTTTGTGTGTTGTGCAGGATCTCTGATAGCTAGCAGGGCTTCACTGCTAATACATACATAAATAGTAGCACCCTATTTCTTCCTGCTCCAGTGTCCAAGGAGCTAAGTTAGGCTGGAGGCTGCTTTGGAAGGCTTTGCAGCATGGCACAAAAGCAATGCATTTACTTCGCTTGAGGTCCTGCAATGTGCCCTCCAGACATTCTGTTCCCTTCGTGCTCTACTATTACTCAGTGTACATACTTCATGTACTTCATCCTTTTCCTTTCTTGCTGCCCAATCTCAGTTTCCCTGCTTATCGTGCTTGTTCATTTCCTTTACCTGCCCTCAGCTTTCCTCTCCCTTTTCTCACTGTATATCTTCTCCCCATTCTGGACAATGTCAACTTTTGTGTGATACAGCTAAGAGAGAAAACACATTCTAATCTAAGTGTTCGAGCATTCACAGTCCCACTAGAAAGAACAAAGCGTGCACAGAATGAAAACCCCCACATATTGATATGAAGTACTTGTATTTACATGGGGACAGGGTTCAGGGCAGACTGTAAACACAACCCAACCATAAACCTTAGCTCATAATTATGCTGTCTCACTGCTACTGAGGAATGTCTTAGGGCTTTTTACACATCAGTTGCAGGTATCAGAAAGGTAAGACACTGAGTCCAATTGCAGATCTGTGAACACTTCTTTTAGACAAATCTGAGCCGTACTATTCACTCTGCAGCAGAACGGAACCTTTGAAAACCCTAAAACAAGGGGTTTCTTTACCAAGAAATCATTATTATTTAGAAAAGAGAATCCACTTTTACTCTGAAGAAATCTGAGCCTTACAATACTTAATTTAATCCAAACATACTGTCTGAAGTTTCCCACCTGAAATTTTCATGAGTCAAAGGATGCTGCTCTTTCATCCAGAGACAGTTTAAACCAAGGTAAGAGAACGTTAAGATGCATTTTAATTAGCCATGAAGACAGGTCACAGTGCATGCACATTCAGCTATGGCATCAGCTCAGGTGGTAAATTTCCATCACATGCTAATGGGGGTCACCTGAACTTACCATTAAACATATGTCTACATTTAATTAAAGAAATTCCCAGAATGTACCTTTCAGTGTCTCTTAATACCTCAGCAATAACTACTGCAGTTTGTAAATGCCATCTTTGAGGAGTCAGTTGCATGTCCTAATCAATAAAAGGAGCTAGAGATAAAAAGATGTTTTCATACCTCTGTTTAAAAGTAAGGTCCTGGACTTCACTTGTGGATCTTCCTGTCTAGCTCTCAAATGAACACTGAAAGAATACATTGCCACAAAATGGGCCTTTTAACTAAACTAAGACAGGGGCCTATAAGGATGCTGGGGAGGCACTCTTCATTAGGGACTGTAGTGACAGGACAAGGGGTAATGGGTTAAAACTTAAACAGGGGAAGTTTAAATTGGATATAAGGAAGAAATTTTGTTACTGTTAGGGTGGTGAGGCACTGGAATGGGTTGCCCAGGGAGGTTGGGAATGCTCCATCCCTGGCGGTGTTCAAGGCCAGGTTGGACAGAGCCTTGGGTGACACGGTTTAATGTGAGGTGTCCCTGCCCATGGCAGGGGGACTGGAACTGGATGATCTTAAAGTCCTTTGTAACCCTAACTATTCTATGATTCTATGTTACTGTGTCTATTATGACAGGGCAACTCCAGCTGGACAAACTACTAGTGAATAAGTGCTATGTAAGCTATTTCTGCCATTTATTTGCAGAGTGGTGAAGACCCTCATAATAGATTTCCTTTAAAAGATGAAGATGTCAATTCTCAGCAAGCATCTCAATACTTACACTGTAGAGATGAGATGCAATATAAGGTATTCAGCAGCCAAACTGTCTCCCAAGAGGGCATGGGTGAGGAACCCAAGCAACTCTGCTCTCACTGGTGACAGCTCCGACATGAAATTAGACACAACTGAGACAAGAGAGAAGACAACAAATGTCAGGAAATACGCTGTTCTTACCCTCTTCCCTCTATAGAAATCTTACTTTCTACTGCAGTGTTATCCAAAGCAATTTAGGACAAATAAATTCATTGGTTTTCCAACTCAGCAATTATTGGCTTTGGATAACTGGAGTCACTCACCATTGCCTTGGAAATGCTTTATTTTTTTAATTAGACACTGTGTAACCTATTTGCAGAAGTCTGAAGTGTTGGATGGTTCCTCTAACAGGATTTAAATTCAGACCCTGCCCTTGATGTCTCTGAGCAAGTAAGCATTGTTTCACATGTACTAGGAGACCATAGATTTACATGTACACGGAGAGAGGTCAAGTTCAGATACTCACAAGTTTTACTTTCCTCTTCATTAAGGCAGGCAGGCAGTAATGGGTTAATGTGCTGTAATTTCTGTGCCAAAATCACATGGATTCTGGGAACTAATGAGGCTGGAGGACTGTGCACTCTCTGTTCCTCCGCCGTGTCCATAGACTCCACAGCATTGAGGGTTGAGCTGTCCCTAGGAAAGGGCACAGCACAACTGGACTTAGAAACATTCCACACAAATTTCTCTCCAGCTGACTAAGAGCAGCTGGAAGCAGGCCAAGAACTGAGCACACTGGAACAAACAACATCCACTCCCAGCTACTGGTAACTCCTCCCATATTCCAACTACCTTCTTTCTGACTTTTATAAACACTATAAATACTGAATCACAATTATATAATTATATGATAGCCTTCCATAAGGCCTAAAGGGGACAACAAGAAACCTGGAGAGGGACTTTTTACAAGTGCCTGTACAAGACAAGGGGGATGGCTTTAAACTGACAGACAGGAGATAGAGGCGAGCTCTTAGGCAGAAGTTCTTCCCTGTGAGGGTGATGAGGCAGAGAAGCTGGGCACCACTTAAGATGTAGCTTCAAACAAAATATCACACATGTTCTGTCCAGCATGTGCTGAATGCAATCTAAGCAGGAACTTTTAAGAAAATAAGGTAATGATTTATGACACTGGTGTGTGTATGCACATCTTCCACCAGGTTCCAGAGCCTGACAACAAGATCTTCTAGACAGTCACATAACACCTGTATGACTGGCTGAGTAACAAGAAATGAGTAAGTAAATCCTAAAGTACCTCAGCTCAGACTTGAAGGTGTTACCTCCTAAGAGTTCAGATACACAGGCTTTGCTCTTCCTGATGATGCCTTACAAAATTCCTTCCAAGTGGTTTTCATTTGTTATATAGGAACTAAAATCCCTGAAGTGACTTTATCAGATAATAGTAAAGCTTAGAACAAACTGAATCAACTTCTACTGGTAAAGCTGAAAAGCTTTATAGCTTCAAAGCCTCTTCAGCAGTCTAGCACCGGACTATCCACTCTTTCCATTGAAAGAACTGTCTTTTGCTTACATTAAAAACATTGCTAAATGCGACCAGTTTGTCTATTTGTGATAGAATGACAGGCAGGAAAACAACCCAACAAGCTATGAGACAGACCAACTGAGCTGTCGGTCTGGTATTATCTGTCAGACAGCTGATAACCAAAAGCAGCTGACCAGGCTGAGTTAGGTTTTCAGAAGCTGGCACTATGAGGGATTCACACTGCACTTGCCATATTGTACTTATCAGAAAGATAAACAAAATCCCCAGCAGAACTGAAGCACAATGGTTCAAGGCATCAGTAGTACATATGTTACATCAGTCAGTGGTTTTACTTTCCAAATTGACTTATTATGTCCTTCTGGATTAGTTTGTATTTTGTCAAGCAAGTAACTGATCAGAATTAGCAGGTTAAGTTTCTACCAGTGGTATAATGTGATGATACACCTTAAATAATGCAAAACACCCCACAAATTTCTCTCATTTTGGTCATTTTCACTCCCCAAAATATTTTCCTCATTGAAATAAAAGTTCCCCGCATTTCAGGATCATGCATCCGGGGAGCCTTACCTCTCTTCATTGTTTACTATGCTCAGCACTGGATCCACAGACAAAATGCCGTATACCTCCAGAACATCATTGACTTTGAAGCTATCCCAGCTCTCATAGACCTGCCACAAAGAGACGATAATAAAATACAGGGGCAGACAGGCCAGGCTGCACACAAACACAAGCAAAAGGAAATTACATCTCAGAAGACTCAGCTGTAGACTGAGAACACTGTGTGAAGATATCTCTCCTAGTCCCCAGTGTCAGTAAGCTGACACTGAAACAATGAGTTTCTACAATTGCATGCTGTTTCCTAGTGGCATTCTTTTGCTCCACAAATGCAAATCGGTGTGTTCTAATCTGATTGATCAAGATTTCCTGAATAAGGGAGCAGTCAACACAGTAAAACCCTAGAAATTTTGTGTTGGAAGTTTCAACACAGGGTACCAAAGACTATTTCAAATACAACACAAAAATGTGTAGCTTATTGTTTTTTTGTTTGCTCCATCACACCTTTCTTCCTCAGAGGACAAATCCTAAAAGCAAAGTATCAGGAGTCAATCCCATCTACATCCTCAAGCACCTAGTAACAGAGTCTTCATCACGGACTGTAGGATAGGACAAGGGGTAACAGGTTTGAACTTAAACAGGGGAAGTTCAGGCTAGATATAAGGAAGAAGTTCTTTACTGTGAGGGTGGTGGGGCACTGGAACAGGCTGCCCAAAAAGGTGGTAAATGCTCCATCCCTCGCAGGGTTCAAGGCCAGCTTGGACAGGGCTTGAATGATGTAGTCTAGTGTGAGGTGTCCCAGACCATGGCAGGGGGTTGGAACTGGATGATCTTAAGGTCCTTTCCAACCCAAACCACTCTGTGACTCTATGACTTTTTATAACTAAGTGTAGTGAGAAGGTGCAGGCTCTAGTAAGCACTGTTAAAGCATTTCTACTACAGCACTTGTGAAGAGAAACAATGTATTATTTAAGAGAAATAAAATGATTATCTGTAGAAACAAAATTCTGGACCTCAGAGCCAAGTTCCCTGCCTTTATAACCAATGCAGGGCTAACTACTTACACTTGACCTCCAGATTCTGCCTGCCTCTCTGAGGCCACAGCCATGCTCATCATCTCTTCACTTCTGTTACCTTTACAAGACATGCTGGTCCCTTCTCTCCTGGCAATGGAAAATTTAAGTCAAGTGGAGGGGAGCAGTTGGGAGAAATGAGATGATGACCTGCAGAAGCTTCTGTTTCTAATCTCTTTGGCTCCACACATCCATGGATATCACCTCCACTGCCTGAAAAAATAGGATTCATAAGCAGAAATGCAAAAATGAACTACTTTCTTCAGTGAGCAACATAGAATTAGCCTAATTTAACAAGACATCTGAGACAAAAATATTTAATAATATATTTGACAGAAAATACTCTTCATCAGAATAGAAAAATCTCACAAATGCATACTCTGTATTACCAAGTGTGAGAGAGTGTACTAGTAGAGAACTCTGTGTCTTAGAAATCTAAACATGGCCAGAAATATGATTTTCAAAGGTAATGCGAAAACTGTGTGAATGACTGGTTTTCTACATTCCATAGGACTGCAGAGGAAATATTGTGCATCTAAAAAAGACAGACCTCAAAAGGTGAGAGTGTGCATCAATGAAACAGTTTACATTAAAAATTTCTGTATCTGTTCTGCATAATAAAGCTATAAACATGTATTCTACCAGTGATTAGTCTGAGTATGAAGAGAAAACTGTCTAAACTGTCTTGCAAACTGGTAAGAATACAAAAGGAAAAGCCTGAATTCAGCTAACAAACCCAACAGACAGAGCAGCACCAAATAAAAGAAAGTGACAGATTCTTGTTCGGTTTAGTTTTCTTTAACAGGACTGACAATTTTAACTAACCACATTCTCTCGTTCAAAAGAAACCTCCAAGAAACCCCCCATATCCCACATCTCAAAGAAACCCCCCACCTTAAGTGACATCTCCACAGATGAACAAAGCAAATAGTTCAGACTTACTAAAACATAAGAAAGAATTGCACACCACCTGAATGCTGCTCGTGTTCCAAACACCATCCTCTTAAAAGGTTAAAGAGCTTTCTTCAGGATGCTACAAGTGTCTGGTATTAATCTGGTTCCTTTATGAAGTTGGGTTAGTAAATGATGTTAGAAAACAGGTAATACTGGAAGATCTTTTTTAGATATAAACTACTGTTTGTAGCAAAGCAGCACCTAATTGACTTGTTTGGCTTCAAATTACACAATGAGATCCACATACAGCATGTGAAAGAGACAAGAGAGTCCATGAAATTGGCAACAGAGTGGGAAATTAAAGAGGAACTCCTAAACTTCATCCTGTTGCTATGAATTGTGTGCCGTTACATACAAAAGATAATACACAAGTGCTGCTGTATAGAACATTAATGCTAGAAATTAAGTCTAGAAAGTGAAGTCAACAAGTCATACAATACACATGCAACATCACAGGCTCTCCCACACTGCTTCAGTTTAAACCACTGATGGCTTCAGCAAAGCCACGAAATTAGTTCTGAGGGCTGCAACAAAACCACTGATCCAGACAGCTGCAAGTGTTTCAGGTTTTGAAAAGGAAATCTTTGCAAGTTCTGGAAAGATATCACAACTATTCCTTAGTAACTACAATTACCCATATGTTGCTCTTTCTGTTTAGATGGATGTAGATCCATGTCCTCATCTTCCTCATAGCTTCTCTTATGGCGACTTGGTGTGTAGGATGTTGAGGGGCTGACTCGAGCTTGGCTTGCACTGATATATGCGTAACATTGTGGATTAAGGACAACCACAGACTCAGTTGAGAAATATGAAGCAAAGTGAAGGTTTTGTTTGCTTGTAGAAACAAAATGCTATTATCCTATTCTGAGCGAGACATTAGAATAATGATTCAAATTGTTATGTAGACATCACCTCTTCAGACACATAAATAACTTGCTTAAGAAGTGTACAGCAGTCACTGGCTTTGTTGAAAATAGAAACTGAAACCTACGGAGTGCTATTCCACCATCAGTCTCTGAAGAGAACATGCTTGTGCTCAGGTTCAACTCAGAATCTCAAGGATTTTTTTTCTCCCACATCTCAAGCCTAAAGAGCAGACATTATATATATTATTATATATATATTATTATTATATTTTAGAGCGAGGTGTCCCTGCCCATGGCAGGGGGGTTGGAACTTGATAATCTTAAGGTCCTTTCCAACCCTAACTATTCTATGATTCTATAATAATGAAGACCTGCTCTCTGGTATCATTATTACTTTAAAAAGAAACACACAGAAGATGTTCACAAACTTGTCAGGTACTGGCAATACTACACTGGTAAATGCATTTTGGAAAAGCCAACACACTTCTTCTTAGCACGATGGGCAAACACTGAAATTGTGTTTGCTGTTTTTGTAAGTCCTTTTCACTTTACATTTCCATTGCTGCATTACTCTGTTGTGAGCTCCATTCAAAGCCTAACTCTTAAAAATAATTTTATTACATATATTGTGTTAGCTTCATTTGAAATTGCATCGACATTCTGTGCCAAAGACAAGCAGTAGTTTTCTTAAATTCTGAACTGAAGTATCAAATCATTATAGATTTCCCATCAAATTCATGTCTTCTTCACAAATGCAACATATCTCAAGTTTTCTAGACCTCTCCCCCAGTCCCTTAGGGCAGAAGTAAATATAAAATTACTAAAAGGTGTTCAAATAGGCATCCTGAATCCATTCAATTCAGATAATTCAAATTCCATTTACTAGGAGAAACTTAAGGTGATTTCTTTCTCCCCAAAATGTTTCCTGTACTCATTAAGAAAACGTCATACTGTGGTTAAACTATCACACCCACTATACCTCCAGGAATTATTGTTTTAACATGCTCAGCTACAGGTGTTCTTACAGGTTCTCGCAAAAGACTCTCACTATGCAACAGTGTTCTAACTTAATCAGAAAATGCCAATCCAATCAGGATGCCAACGGTTTGACTGAAGTTTCTCTTTTTCTAAGCATCTGCAAATAGAAATTAAGAGAAATTTTCAAGACCCTCCCAAGCAAATATGAAGATCTATTCCAAACCCCTACTAAATCATAAAGCAATGCTCCTAAATTCATCTACATCCTTCGTGCATAGAGCACAGCATACAGTCGTAGAATGGTTTGGGTTGGAAAGGACCTTAAGATCATCCAGTTCTAACCCTCTGCCACAGGCAGAGACACCTTTCACTAGAGCAGCTTGCTCCAAGCCCCTGTGTCCAACCTGGCCTTGAACACTGCCAGGGATGGGGCAGTCACAGGTTCTCTGGGCACCCTGTGCCAGTGCCTCACCATCCTCACAGGGAAGAACTTCTTCCTTGCATCTAACCTGAGCTTCCCCTGTTCAGTATTTCCTTTTTCTACACCTACCACCTCTCCTGATTCACTCAAAGCAAAGTTTAAAGCTATCTCCTTCAATCTAATGAATTAGTTGGTGATCACTTTGTATAACAGAGCACTTGCTCAGTCAAAAAGGATATTTCTTTCACCCATGCTGATTCACCAGGCACTGGAACGCAGTAGAAAGTCTGTCTTTCTGAGGTGACTGTTTGTGAGGAGTTCAAATCAATTTCCTGCTGAGGCTGAAATACCAAGAGAAAGCTTGTTAAAAACCTGATTTAGAGTTTGATTTCTTTTTTCAACTAATCCCACAGATTCAGTTACTCAGCCAAAGTTCCAATGAACATGTAAGGCTATATACTCATGAAACCGTGAATCCATTCCGTGTTTGTAGTGCTTTGAATGTAATTGCACTGCATTACCAAAAGTAAATTGTTTTCTATAGCAGAAAGTTCCAAGATCAAGAGCACTTCCCCTCTCCGTGAAAGCAAACCAAATCTGAAATACAACAGAAACAGCTTGAAGCTGTTGAACTTAAGAATGCCCATGAGCAGTAAAGGATACTCTGCTTTCCAAACCTGAGATTAATTTTGCTTTTTAAGAGCAGTGTCTCCAGGAAACCACTGGTGAGTACCAAATAAGCTACCAAATAAACTGCACCTTTCTGTCTAATATTTCACCTCAAAACTCATATAACTTGTATAACTTACCCCACATTCTGCCACATCTCTGTATTTGCCAAAATGCAAAACCTGTCAAGAAGGAAAAGGCAATGCAATCATTCTGACAGCAGCCTGAATATGAATGATTTACACCAAAATCACTGCAGTCAAAGTCCCTCAAAGACACACTGCCAAAGCTTTCATCATTTTAAGTCATTTTTATTCCTCAACAGATATGTAAGAAATGATGATGTATTACCAATGCCATTTGAGCCACACAAATAGAGCTACTATTAATAACTTCCAGATTCCATAGGTTTAACTCAGAAACTAGTGAAATATGAGGACTAGAATAGATAGAATGGTAAATGGTTACTGAAATAATAATCAGCATTTCACTTACACGTGCATTTGTGTTTGGGTCAACAGTTTCGTACACTCCCATGTAAAACTCAGGATCAAACATATCTTGGACCATGCAGCGAAATTTCACTAAACTGTTGGGCTTTAGGTAGTGTACAGGAACATCATTCAGTGATGGAACCTATAAAAAAAAAATGAGCTTACTCTAAACAACTGGTATATATTAAGAAATGTTCTGAAGTAAGCCAAAAACCAGTGCAAAAGCTGTCACTGTGTTATCACTTTGATCATCCAGTATATCCTACTGTCCAGTTACTTGCCCCAACCCCAGTGTTGTTGGTGTTGATATGATGCCTCATCAGGTAACATACTTCCTATTTTCTGAGTACATCTCCCATCCTAATCCAATCAGTAACAAAGTGTGTATATCTCAACACAGAGATACACATGCTGTTACAGACCTTAGTTACAATTATCAGACACTTAAGAGTTCCCAAATTCTTCCAGTTCCAAAGCCCCCAGTCCTGTTAATTTCTCAGTCCTGATACTGGACTACAAAAGAAATGCATTTCAGTGCAAGAAAACTGCACAACATTTAGAACTAATTCTTAAACTGGGAATTATTGCAGCTGCAGTATTAAATAGAATTTACTACTTATCCTATTTCCACTTAACAGCACTTTCAGCATGTATTATGCACCACTGGTACCATAGCAATTGCATGCACAATTTCTTTAACAAAAGGCTGTGGAAAACCTGTATGTTAATTTCCAAGTCCACACAAGTCCACATGTTTACATGACAATGGAGAAAGAGAAGGAGAAAAAAAAGTACAAATCAATGCCTCAGCATGTGGTATAACTTGAAATAAAGAGACTTGCAACAAGAATAGTTGTATGACTTGGAAGATAAATTCTTTGTTGGAATAAAAACCCCTACAACCCACATTAAAATGCAACAAAACCTAGAAGTGGCCCTACAGGAAACAGCATTTTAACATATATTCCCTTGTTTCTCTTAACTGAGAAAATGAACTTTCAATTCCTTCTAATGTTATAAATTTAACACAGTTTTGCCATCTACACTTCCATTCAAACTGCCATTGAAATATTAATTACAGAATACTCTGACAGAGGAAGAAAAAAAGGAACCAAACAATTTCCACTTGGGTTTTTTTTAGCCTTAAGTAGGGCAGATTTGATATGAAAGTTTCTAATCCACTTAGAAATGTTCTTCACGATGCTGTTTTCAGCAGTCTCTTAGAAAGATATCAGCTGATGAACTCAAGAGTGCAGACTTTATTTTTAAATCTAAAGCAGACCTTCCCTGCTCAACTGTGAAAACCAGGCCTGATCCAGCCCATTAAGGCACAGTTTTAGATGGAAGTATTTTTTCCTAACACCTGAAAGCCCAAGCAGCTATTTGATTCAACCCACACAAAGTCTGCAGCATTGCAATCAAAGATCATGAGAGAATCATAGAACCAATTCGGCTGGAAAAGACCTTTAAAGATCAAGTCCAACTGCTCCCCCAGCACTGCCACCACTAAACCATGTTACCAAGGGCTTCATCTACGTGGTCTGCGAACAGTTCCAGGGACAGTGACTCCACCACTGCCCTGGGCAGCCTGTTCCAATACCTGATTACCCTCTCTATGAGGAAATTGTTCCTAATATCCAGTCCAAACCTCCCCTGGTGCAGCTTGAAGCCATTTCCTCTTGTCCTATCACTTGTTACTTGGGAGAAGAGACCAACCCCACCTCACTCCATCCTCCTGCCAGGCAGCTGTAGAGAGTGATAAGGTCCCCCCTAAGCCTTCTCTTCTCCAGACGGAACAACCCCAGAGAAGGGGTTTATAAGCAGCAGTTCAGAAACTTGTGGTGCACAAATGCTCACTGCAGACACAGCAGGCAGGGCAGGATTTAACACCTTCAGAACTGACAGCACTTGTCAGCTCCTGCCATCTACTGGCTTGTACTACAAATAGGCAGGATTCAGCAGTTACGGCCCAGGGCGAAACAGCGCGCTGAAGTCAAGTGGATTCGCTTCTCCGGTTTCAGTCAGGATTTTAAATCTTTGCTTTACATGGAGATTAAAACCAATTCAGATGCAAATAACGTATCCCAAAGTGAAAGCCTAGAATTCGTAAGTGTACTTATCGCCAAAAGGAAGTACTTCTCAAAAGCATGTCACTGCAATAACCGAGAAACAAAAAGAGCTAAACTTAGGAAAGTAAAGAACTTTAAGAGAAGTGCAACTCAGAAAGAATAAGTCTTACCCAGTTAGTAGCGTTGTTTTCTTTTAATTTCTCCTTGAAGTATTCGGTTACCTTCTTTTCCCAATCAGAGTTTGGAACATTTTGGGCTATAAACAAAACACATTTACGTGTGGATTAGCATCACATAACAGACGTCTAGTTGCCACACTCCTAACTCAGCACCCAATTTAAACATTTACTTCTATTCTGGGCAACGGACTGCATTTTAGACTACTTCATGCCTCTTATAAATGCACTGACTTCCTACCTTTTATCTTTATAGGCAAACCAAGATGAATATAGCTATTCTTGGAAGTGAAGGAAAGCTCTGAAACACGCCAGTACACCCAGCCAGAAGCAGAGGACGTAAGGTACCACTGCTTTACATTCACTGCGGATATCGTACGTAGCTAAGATCAAGCCCAGAAACAGCTTCAGCCACTAGCACTGGTAACACTACCACTGATCGGTATTCCACGTAGCCAGCACACGCTGTTCCCGAAGCCCAGAAGATGATGAGTTTTCGTTTTGAACCCTACCCGGCCTGCCAAGCCGCGGCAGACATCGCTGCCCTCCCGTGAGGTACCCGCTCGGCGCCAGGGCAGGACCCGCAGCCGGCAGCCTTCCGAGGCCTCGGGCAGGCGGGTCCCGCCCGCTCCGGCGGGGAAAGGAGAACGCGGCCACCCGCAGGTGCTCCCTGTCCCCGCGGCCGCGTCTCCATCCCCGCCCTCACCGACCTCCCGCCGCCGCCACCCCACGAGGGGAAGCTCCGTGCGGCCACCGCGCGGTTTCAGGCGCCCTCCCGGCGCCGAGAGGCCCCGTCCCCGCCCGGCCCGCACTCACCGAAGATGCCCTGCACGATGCTGAAGGGGTTGTTGAGCCAGTCGGCCACGCACGGCATGGCGAGGGCAGGCAAAGGGCTGCCAGCACCCTGCTGCCGCCAACTCCCGCTCGCAAGCTTAGCACGGGGGCTCCCCGCTTCCGCCCTCCTTCTCCTCCTCCTCTTCCTGCGGCAATGGCGGCACTGCCAGCCCCGGACCCGCCTTCTCCTCTTCACCCGTGCGCGGACAGGCCGTAAGGGCGCGGCGCCGCCGCCGCCATCTTGAAAGCGGGCAAAGCGATGAGGGCGGAAAGGGCGGGGATGTCGTGAGGGAAGGGACGTGGCCGGGTGCAGCCATGGCGGCGGCGAAGCCTGGTGTTACCGGTGCTACCACCAACTTGCTCTTTTCTTCCTCCGCTACCGAGTTCAACTTCACCGTGCCCTTCATCCCGGTCAGCCAGGCTCCGGTTATACCGCCGGACTCGGCTCTCCTGGCAGCCGGTAAGGGAGGTGCTGGGGCGTTGTTGTGGGGGAAGTGGAGGGGCACGGAGGGGTCGCGCGGGACCCGGGCGGAGCCCTCCGTAGCCCTGGATAACGGGCTTGAGGGGTCAGTGGGAGCTCTGAGGAGCCGAGCTGGGGCCTGCCCAGAGCGGCTGCGGGTCTCCCTGGCGTCTGGGCCCGCTACGTGTCGGTTAGACCTTCATCTTCCGTCCGAGGGGCTCCCGGAGCTGGTTGTCACCGCCGGGCGTTAATGCTTCAGGGAGGATAAGCTGCCCGAGATGTGCGCATCCCGCTTTCCTGAGCGTATGTCATGGCTATGTGTTTGACTCCTAGCTGTGTGTGTAAGGATAGCGGGAGGTTATCGTGTTTTCAGTTCATTGATCAGCATGTTTGTTTCAGCAGTTAAAAGCTGTGAGGGGTGTATTTAATGGTTCTGTTTTTTTAAGTTCCTCTTCCATGTTGTCCGTTTTCCCTGTGTGGAATTACTGAGTTAAGGAGGTACCTTAAGTTCCGTTGCTAATTTAAACGTGGCTTTAATATCCTTACCTTTTAAACCTTTAATGGTGTTGCAGTCTAAAAACCTGATGCCCTATGCAGAAGGACTTGGGGGTGCTGGTCGATGCGAAAATGAACATTGAGCTAGCTTCAGTGTGTGCTTGCAGCCCAGAAAGCAACCGTATCCTGGGCTGCATCAAAAGGAGCGTGACCAGCAGGTCGAAGGAGGTGATCCTGCCCCTTTATTCTGCTCTCGTGGGGCCTCACCTGGAGTATTGTGTGCAGTTCTGGTGTCCTCAACATAAAAAGGACATGGAACTGTTGGAACAAGTCCAGAGGAGGCCATGAGGATGATCAGGGGCTGGAGCACCTCCCATATGAAGACAGGCTGAGAAAGTTAGGGCTGTTCAGCCTGGAGAAGAGAAGGCTGCATGGAGACCTCATAGCAGCCTTCCAGTATCTGAAGGGGACCTATAGGGATGCTGGGGAGGGACTCTTCATTAGGGACTGCAGTGATAGGACAAGGGGTAATGGGTTCAAACTTAAACAGGGGAAGTTTAGATTGGCTATAAGGAGGAAGTTATTTACTGTGAGGGTGGTGAGGCACTGGAATGGGTTGTCCAGGGAAGCTGTGAATGCTCCATCCCTGGCAGTGTTCAAGGCCAGGTTGGACAGAGCCTTGAGTGCCATGGTTTAGTGTGAGGTGTCCCTGCCCGTGGCAGGGGGGTTGGAACTTGATGATCTTAAGGTCCTTTCCAACCCATCCCATTCTATGATTCTGTGAAACAGTTTCAGAAAGGAAAAGACTTCTGGAAATTCATTCAGTCTGAGACTAAAACCTTAAGCATTAAAATTACATCTAGAAGTCAGATAATCTAAGTTTTACTGCATTGGTATGTGTTGAGTCCAAAATCCAAGTCATTATTTCAGCAGTGTTGTATCTTAGCTATACTAAGTATTAATGCAGATGGAAATCAGTGGAGTATATCTATGTAGATGCAATAAAATGTTTGGGCTTTGAATCACTTTTTTTGATAAGCTACATTTTTTGGGGTGAGACAAATAAAAGCATTACGATACTTGAGGTATTTGATAGATGGTATGTTACCACTTCCATTATGCAATCCTAGTGCTTTTTCTTTCTTGCACATATACATAGTTTCTCATTTAAAAACAAAAGTAATTTTGAAGTGCCTGTCTGGCTAGTGGCTTTGCACAGGTGACTGCCTTGTTGCAATTTCCTGAACACTTAGAAGCTGCCTAGGAAGAAGAATGTGATGTATCATGTACTCCCCATCTCACTTTAAATTTGACCAAATGAAGATTCACAGGTTTGCAGCTGGGGTGAATTCTAGTGCCGGGGGGTTGTGCTGCATTCCATGTCTATCCGAGTGAGGCCCCTGTCCTGTTAAATGTTCTGTTTCTCTAGCCCACTGCACTCACCGGGGATCTGGCTGTGTAGAACAGTTTGCATCTTGAATTTACATTACATTTCCAAGAGTGTTTATGATTTGCAGTTTGAATTCTTCCCTATGAGGGTGCTGAGGTGCTGGCACAGGTCGCCCAGAGAAGCTGCGGCTGCCCCATCAAAGGTAGTGCTTGAGGCCAGGTTGGACGGGGCTTAGGGCAGCCTGCTGTAGTGGAAGGTGTCCTTACCTATGGCAGGGACTTGGAACTGGATGAGCTTTAATGTCCCTTCCAATCTGAACATTCTGTGTTTCTGTGACAATAGAAAATACGTTCCCTGGCTCAAGTGTGGGTGAAGTAACCAATATACTGATTGTAGATAGAGAGGGGTATTCCCGATGAGGAAGTGGGCTAATGTCACTTATGGCTGTCAGGTGACAATTTGTGAATGACAAGGTTCAACCGTATATAAGGAGGGATATATAGGAGGTTGTCACAGTCACTTTTGAAGAAAGACTGTTTTATGTTTGGGAAGAATACTGCCTTTGTATGTCCAAGCTGTTTACTCATAGGTTATTTTAAAATGTGTATGAAGTGCTTGTTTTTCTGCCAGTCTGGGTTTATGTTGCAACGTAGGCTTTGAAAAACTAGAGATGGGCAAAGTATGAAGTAATGAGTTGAAAAACTGTGTGGGGCATGTGTATGTATGCACATAGAATTTTTGTGTTTGCAAAACTTTTTCAAGGAAAGATACAGTGAGACTAAATCTCGAAAACCTAGTTGAAATTGGAGAGCAGTAAGTGTTTTGTGAATGGGCACTTAGTAAAGGCCTTAAACTCTTCAGCACATTGCTGTGTGTTTATTGTGATTTGAGATGGTGAATTGCCTATTCTGCAGTTACTTTGGAAAACTGAGAACTGACACTTCAAGTGTTCAAAAACCGTGTAGATGAGACCCTCGGTGCCATGTGTTAGTGGTGGCCTTGGCAGTGCTGGGGTAACGGTTGGACTTAATGGTCTTAAAAGTCTTTTCCCACTGAGTTGATTCCATGATTCTATGAGAGTGCAGCATGCGGTATGCTTCTCTGTATTCTACAGTGTTTATGAGGTATGAAAGAAAGAAGAGTTTTATTGTTTAGCAGCTGAGACCTTTTATTTAGTATAAATGGCTTTTCTGGTCTGTAGTTGGGAGATAATCCATAGGCCTGGCTTCGTAGTGTTCTTTGCTTATAAAGAGTTTTATTATGCTCCACGTCATGGCTCACACACGTAGGTTTTGGGTTTTGTTCCTCAAAGTGGGATAAAATGTTAGAGGTGAAAATAAGGAAAGTTGGCAAATTCAGCTGATGCCTCAGATTTCCAGTCTGAAAAGACTTCTAAGTAAAAGGTGATTAAAATAGTCCTTTTTACTCATGCTGCTTTTATGATTAATTAATTAGAACAGCAGCTTCCTAGGGAGACTTCTTTGTGGATTCCCCTGTGCTCCCTTGATACTCTATGTTACAGTTCTGTTGGCTGAGGATAATGACATTTGTTACTGGCTTTTTGTAGGTTCAGAGATGCTTGGCCCTCTGGCTTTGGCAAGGGATGAATAGTAGAGAAGCAATGATAGCTCTGTGGTTTCTTCCCCACAGCCTAGGGATTATCTGATTGCCAGAGCAGATAACACCACATTTAGGACTTCTGCAGATTGCACTGGTGCTTGCATGGTGCTGTTCCCTCAGCAGACAGGCAGTGATGCTCAGATGTCACAGGCTTAACTGAGGTTACTGTGAGATCTGTGATTATGTCAAACCACTTTTTCTTCCCCAGTTGTTCCTAGGTTACTACAAAGCAGAAAACCAGGATTGACCAGGACCTGGTTTGTGTATATTCTCAGTATGAAATGGTAGTCGTGGCCTTGCACCTTTTTAAGCCCTCTCCTGCACTTATGCAGAATGGGGACTTATTTTCTGTGCCAGTCTAGAGTAGGATTTTCAGAGAGAGCTGGAGTCAGTTGTGCTTATCAATAGCTTGGAACGATGAGTTATGGCCACCTTGCAGGTCAAATGAGAAACCTTGTGAGGGATCTTGCCTGAAGCAGCAGGCCAGGATGGATTTGTTAACCAATAGGTTTGGCATATTTGGGAATGTCCTTAAGATCTGCTTTTGAGTTTGATCTTGGAAGTCTAGAAATTAAGAGTGTAAACTCCTGTGCTTAATAGCTATTTTCATGGTGAAAGGAAATGAACCAAGGCTGCGCTTGCATTTATTTGGTAGGCGTAGGGAAATTGGAGGGGATTTTTGCACCCTGGAAGCAGGGATCCTTGTCAAGTTGGCTTGGAAAGGTCCTGTCTTCAGTCATACTTTGGTCTCTTATTCCAGATTTTTAACTTTTATTGCTTTATCTGGGTTCACTGAGTGACTGTTATGGTCCATTTTAAATGTTCTTGAAGACTTGGTGTATTTTGTTTCATTTTACAATGTATTTAATCATCAAGTACATGTAAGCTTTGTAAT